ATAGTTGTATCTCTGTGTATTTTTATGTAGTATGTTTTTGATGCATGGCTATGTGAAGAGTGTCGGGGAAAAAAAAAAAAGAAAAATGGAGGTACTTTTGTTTGTTTCATAAGAGAAATATTAATGTATTATTTTCCTTATCAGGTGATTCTAAAGTATCTGCCACCAGTCCTCTCAGTCCGTCCGAACTCCTGGTCGCTCTTCACCAGATCGAGGCTAAGAGTGACATGAAGTCTGTTATGAAAGGTAATCCAGTATTCAAAGATGTTGTTTGGTAAAGAGAAATTTGGATGAGATGTTAACGATCTTTCCTTTGTGAGCAAGGATAAAGTCGAGTTTCCATTATCGGTCTGGGTTTGTGCTTTCTTTTTTAACCTGTGATAGAGAGCAAATGCCGTTATTATGCATAAAATACTTGCATTTCATGAAAAAGTGAATAGAGATTCAGAAGGGCCATAACACGTTTTTAACAAGCATGTGTTTCATTCCTCTCTCAGCCAGCAGCTTGTGTTTTGCGGAGAAGACCATTTACACTCAAGAGGTGCTAGCAGTGGTTTTACATCAGCTTATGGAAATGAATCCCCTTCCTACTCTATTTATGAGAACGGTAAATTTCTTTTTGACAATGTAAATTCTTCTCTTTTCCCCTTACATTTTCTTCTTTCTCTCCCAAGTATGAGACAGGCTCATTTTGGACTGACATTTTATGCCACTAGAACATAATCGTAAATATTCAGCTGCAAATTATGTCTCCATCACCTCTGTATCACAGACCGTTCTATTGTGTTGTAACAAGTACACCTGTAATAAGAAACTATTATCTTATTGTGGCATTGTCAAGCGACTTCCTTTGTATCTTCACCCTGTAGGTGATCCAGTCTCTCAGCATTTGTCCTCGGTTAGTCGGTTTTGTCATGAACATTCTCGCCAAACTTATCACAAAACAGGTGAGTAAAATCAGCCCACAATGTTTTCGTAATCGCCGAAGAGTGGACTAAATATAGACACTAGTGTTCGATTCTAGATACTGAGTTTTTTGCGTCCGATATTAAACAATTGTGACTGACTAAGACACTAGAGTCCGACGTTAGACACTATTGTCTATAATCAGACACTATTGTCTAAAATCAGTCACAAGTGTCGAAGATCGAACAGTAGTGTCTAAAACTGGACACTAGCATCAAAATCGGTCCTGTCGCTACTGTCGGATTTTAGACGCCAGTGTTTGATTGGAGATACCACTGTCCGATTTTTGACACTTGTGTTTGATCATAGACACTAGTGTCCGGTTTTGGACACTAGTGTTAACTAGACACTAGTGTTAGCGCTATCTACTGCGAGGATCGTGCATCATACGTATCTAATACCGCAGTTCAAAATATATGATCTTCATATATTCATTGTATCTCAGTGTTAAATTTGGACACTTGTGTCCGACTTCAAGACTGAAGTGTCCGATTTTAAGGTGTGTATTCAGCCTCTTTTTATTCTTTTTTGTCCAAGGTGTGGAAACAGCCAAAAGTGTGGCAGGGATTTGTGAAGTGTTGTCAGGTAATTTCCAAATTCTCAAAATTATAATTTATTAGGTCTAATGATCATATCTTGGCTGAACAACTGCGTACCTACCCCCTCACCCTTCCTTAACCCAACATTAGCCCTAACATGTTATTAGTGGACTGTTGTTGGGTTAGGGAGGGGGGAGGGGTGGGTACGTAGTTTGGTCCAATACTGACTTTGATCTTATTTATACATCGTCTTTTCAGAAACATGTATTAGTATTTTAGTAGACGCTAATAAGCACAGTTTTGTACACAACTGGAGTGATCAATAAAAAATTTTAAGAAAAGGCCTTGGTTTGACCGGTGCTGATTTTCCTTCAATTACAATGTTTTTTCTGCAGTTCAAATAATTTAATTTTTAGTTATTGCCTTTGTAGATTTAGTGTCGAAAAATAATCGCCACGCTAATATTTGATACTTCTTTTTCTTATCAGATGACCAAGCCCCAGTCCTTCTCGGTCCTTCTTCAACTCCCTTCCCGACAGTTAGAGAGTGTGTTTGAGGTGAGACATTTTGAAAGTTCTCAGTCGTAAAGTTAATGTCCCTCTAGTGTTTGCCATTCCTTAGGTGAATTGTTAATGTAAATACGACAACACGTCATCTAGGTAGCGCCTTTTCCTTATCCTCCCTCGGGACCCCAGTCACCCCGTCTAGCGTGTCTTCCCCCCCCCTTCTCCTTACAACCCACATCAGAGAATCTTGTCTCGTGTCATCGCGGATTTTTTTACTCTTAAACAAACGTGCGTAAGATATAGATAAAAGTCTTGCGATGAATCACGTGTTTAATGAACACGTTGATGCGAATCCTACAGTAGGTAATTTTACTAAGTATTTTTTTTTTTTTTCAGTTTCCTCGGCGTACATATTTTATTATAATGTCGTAATGTTGTAATCGTATGATCTTTCAGATTTGCCCGGAGCTCAAAGAAAACCTGGTTTTGCATGTTCAGTCGTTCACTCCTCACCAGGTAAGCGCGGTTGATCATTGATAATCAATGCTTCAGATCAAGACAGTCAATTTTCAACAGCTCAGCTCTCAAGCACCAAAAGAGTTCCAAGGCTCGCACATTGAAACATCCACCTAAAGTCAAACTGTACCCCTTAATTACGAGAGGAAGTTTAAATATAGAGAACAACCTGAATATTATGGAAGTTTGTACATTTGCTTCGCATTTGTGTTCACATTTTGATGTAAAAGCATATTATAGGTAAGAGATTGAAAGAAACGTAAAGCGTTTTCAAGGGCATCTTCATAATTTTAGATAGATGTCCGCTAAAATTTGCGTTACTTTTCGTTTTAAAATGCCTTTAAATGGTCGGATTTTCTTTCTCCTTCATCGCCTAATTTTGAGGTTACACCTCGTTGGGGCCTGAACAGGAAAAAAAAAAAACAAGAAAACTGACGAGAGCTAGGGCGATATTTTCGTGCACCGTATAAATCCTGCCAGAGTTGAAATCTTCCCCTATAAGTGCGATTTCTGTTCTCCTCAACGAGAGCGCTCTTCAGAGCAACTTAGAAACTTCAATTAAAATATTATTAGACATTAACTACAGAAAGAGCACTGAAATTTAGGACAACCACCCCACTCAGAAAAGTTTAAGTAAGCAGTGAGCAGTGTAAGATAGCAACTGTTTTGACAGCGCCGTTTTATTTTTGTCTTTTTGTTTTTTTTCCTTCCAGCGAGCTCACATACCGAGATCTCTGTTGCAAATCTTAGAAAAGGACGGAAAGAAAGACGAGAAGAAACCGAAACCAGAAAAACCAGACAAGGAACAGATCGACCCAGAAGAAGAGGAGGAGGAAGGAGAAGAAGACGACTCGACGAAGGGCGACAAATCTCCGAAGCGGACACGATTGCACACGAGGGAGGCGCTCAAAGATAAACGGAAATCACGAAGATCGCGCTCCCGCTCCAGGTCACCGCGGAAGAAACGGGAGAAAAGTGCTGGTGAAGAAAGCGCAAGCGAAGGGGAAATCAATTAGATGATTAAGGATGGACACTGCACTCTGAAGATCACGACGTGTATAGAATGGTGGTAGACACCATTTTGTTAATTTTAAAACTCAACCTTGCTCCCAGACCATCTGTTCTTCCTGCTTCCTGGATCAAGACATCCGAGGAACGAAGTTGGAAAAGAGCCTGCTGTGTAAAAAGGACACTATCATGATGGTTACCACAAGTGTATTTATGGTAGATTGTGATTAACCATGTGGTCCTGCAGAGGGAAAACACTGAAAGAGAGGAATTCCCAAAGCTAGTTACAGTTTCTCAATCTCAGAAAATAGAACCTAAATTTTGAAAATTCGTCATTTTAAATCGGTGTCAATCTTTTTTAATCGTCCTAGTTCCCTCGTGGTTATTGTCTCTTCTGTCTTGTTCTTTCTTAGTTATTTGGTCCTCTTCGTATATCTATGTACATAAGGCATCGGCCAGAGAACGAAATTGTAAAATAAACGAGAAAACGTGACGACGAGTGGGTCGAGGTTATCTTCTCAGCGTATGGAAGATCTCTGCTCTTCGATCGCAAACTTTCGAACTGAAGTATTCAATCTATCAAAGATATTTTGTTTATTCAACTGAGTTGACAAAGCGAACTGTCCACCGTAGAGGGATTCTAAACCTCGCCTTTTCAGTGTTAGTCCTTCGAGTGATTTGGCCCGACGAAGGAGTAACACTCGAAACGTAATTTGTAAAATCTCTCTACAGTGGCCAATTCACATTAACAACTCGGTTGAAAAAACCAAATTATCCTGTGATACCCCACGCCGATGCAGCACTACATTGTTTTAGAAACCTACCCTCTTATTACTCTGTTTACGCAGATTTATATTAGATAAAATACGATTGCTGATGTGAATCTAAGATCCCAGCGTTGTACGTGCATATCGTTTTAATAAATTGTTTGATGTTCCGTTAAATAACATGAAATTCATTAAAGCTGAGAGTTAGGATTTTAGTCGAAGACGCCTGTCATCTCTAATCCAATTGGGAAACGTTGGCAGAGGCTGCCAACAGTTATCAGACATTTTTTGTGTGATCAGTTGTCAAAATGTGTGCTTTACCATCGTTTTTGAACAACTATTTGCTATGTAGAACCAGTCAGAGAGGAAAGTCTCTCTTTTCTAATGAATTGCAGCCCCTTATTCACGGTAATAAACAAAAGTAACGTTCACAAAAAACTGAATAAAACGTCTCATATTTCCATTCCCCCAAGGACAAGACTAATAATCCAATGATTTTGAGAACTTATTCGACGATGAAAAAAAAGAAGTTAAAAAAGGGGCTGCATTAGAGGCCTTTGTACAGGTGCAGAACTGCCTTTTATGTAAATAAAATAATCTATTATTAATCAGCCTTATTGACGGTTTCGATTGACTATAGATGCCATTTATATTGTGAACGTGCTTCGAGGCTGCAGAAGCTAAAGAAAAGCGCACGAACATGGCCACAACCAATTTGACTCACGAAGACAAACGAACTGGGTCTTTCGAAGAACTTCGCTGCTCGAGCACTTTCACCAGTGGAATACACCAGCATCTGATTTGGATTTCAGCAATGAATACCTTTCTTTCTATTATTTCTGTTGTTGGCAATTTTCTCATTTTAGCCGCCCTTCGAAGGGAATCTTCTGTTCACCCGCCATCAAAACTTTTTCTACGTTGTCTGGCCGTAAGTGACTTGAGCGTTGGTCTTCTTGCAGAACCTCTTAACGTTATCTACTGGATGTCACTGGTTTATCAAAACTGGGATCTTTGCCGGTTCGCGTCGGCCGCATCGTTTATGGTGGGCTATGTATTAGCTTCAGTTTCCTTGTTCACGCTGACTGCGATAAGCGTGGATAGACTTCTCGCTCTGCTACTAAGCTTAAGGTACAAATATGTTGTGACTATAAAGCGAACATACATAGTCGTTGGTATCTTTTGGGGATTATCCACTGCCGCAGCAGTATCATCCCTTCGAACGCACCTTATTACCTTTTGGTACAGCCGTATAGGAATATCATTATGTCTAACAACGTCGATTCTTTCTTACACGAAGATTTTCATTACACTTCTTCGTCGTCGAGCGCAAGTTCGCGTTGAAATTGAACAACCCGTGCCTAGCGATCAAAGTGTGCTTAACATTGCACGGTACAAAAAGGCTGTGTACTCTGCGCTTTGGATACAAATGGCGCTAGTTGCTTGTTATCTCCCTTACAGTGTAGTAACAGCCTTGCTTAGTTACAGAAGGCCGTCTCAGTCTTTTTTTCTTGCTTGGGTCATAGCAGTGAGTTTGGTTTACGTAAACTCTTCCTTAAATCCAATTCTTTATTGCTGGAAGATTACTGAAGTGAGGCGAGCAGTAAAGGAGACGATCAGAAATTTACTCTGCTGCAGATAATCACAGAGTTGAATAATTGCCGCATTAAAAGAGTAAAAATATAGAGAAATATTTATAACTTTGTTTAGAAAATAGCATGAATATAAAATAGCCTGGAAAAGTTGTTCTCTGCCCTACAGACCCCGTTTTTTTGCTCAGAAAAAAAAAAAAAAAAAAGTTCTACCAGAAGTATTGTATATTAATTAATCTAAGTATGGTTAAGTCGACAGTTCGGTCCTTTTTTTTTTCGAGATCGTTTTGCAATCCTGAGTGATATCTATCATTGGACTACAACAACGGATAAGATTGTTATCGTTCATACTGGAAAGATCCATTAAGCTTTATGTAATTAGCTAAAAGCTTTCAATCAATCAAACAGACGATTTTTACTAATACAACCTGCCTTATAAGAAGCGATAAATTATTTTTAGCATGTATACACCGTACAGTTGATCGGTACTTTTCGCACAAGCTGATTGGCTGGTACGGAGGTGACTAGCAAGTACAATTCACCGCCGAGCAGCTGATGAGACCGTTAAAACTTTTTTTTTTTTTTTCTTGGTTGATGGTTGGTTTCTGTGCGGTAAACACTAAATTAATTATTCACCTCCACGATGAAAATAATTTTTGACAATAGACGGTGAGAGAGAAAATTTCATTCAACTTTTTTGAAAATCGTTATTTTTAATGAAAGAAACTTTAATAGAAAGGATGCCACTAATCCATAGTAGATGATTTTAGATACATATACTCAGTTTAAAAGAAACGTACAACTTTCCAAGAATAAATTATGCTCGCATCAATATCATGAACACTTTGTATTTAATCAAGAGAGAGTTTATGATTCCCTCAATCTAATTTGATAATTAGAGTCAAGATACATCTTGACCACACACAAAGTTTTGCATGTTCACTCCTGACGCAGCTTCTTGTAGTGTCTCGAATGGGTTTAGGCATTAGTAAAAATTAGTAAAAAAGTGACACATTTTAACCGTCAGTCGCAAAAAGAGTTCACTGCCAAGTTTTTTCCGTCTACTTCGTGTCATTTTGTATCATTTTTGGCAAGAGAATATATACCATCTTGTTTTTGGTTAACCGCTAGCCGCTAAATGGCCAATATTTAAACCGTTAGCCGTAAAAGCCATCTTCCCCATTGAGATCCTCTATTTAGTAAATAAACCATTTCAGGTGGCTGGTATGTTGGCTGTTAATGTCTTCGGCAGAGAGATTGTCTGAAAACGAATATTTAGCCGAGCAACGAAGCTCCCCGGGGCAAATGAGAAATTTCAAGACATTTCCAATGTGAATTTCATTGTTCGTTTGTTTTTTTTGCACTAGCTTTACATATTTTTGACAGAAACAATCGGAGCGCAAATATCAACGCAGACGGGGTTATTGCGAGATAACTGTTCTGTGCTTTTGTACCACGTGATTCTTCCCTCCCTAATTCCTGTTCCTTTTGTCGACATTTAATATTGAAGTGGAGCACGTGGGTGTCGTAACACATCTGACTGCTAGCGACACAAGTTACTCAAATAAACCAACACAATTTATTACTGCTCTTTAAAGGCATTCTAGTCTTATTTGTACACAGACCTTTTTTTTTTTTTTAGAAATCTTCCGTTGGAAAATAGAGTTTTCATAGCAGAAATATATAACCACAATGCGATTTAAGCCCATGATTTCATCCAACAAATTTTGCCGCTGTCCATCAACGCGTTCTCTTGATATAGTCTGTGCATCACAGGAACGCGCGTAATTTGTAGAAAGCTAGCTATCAAAATGAAAAGAATGTTTAGTTAGAAAAAGTAAACGCGCATGATCTACTAAATACAACATGTCACCTTTTTTTTTAATACTAACCAGAAATACAATTTTGACATAGAAGCAGTACCATATAAACACTTGTTCTTAGACCATCGTAGCTTGATTAAGAAAATAACACAAACAGCGGGGATAAACATTGTATTCCAATGCATTTTATATAGAACTGGACGTTTCGTATGCTAGTCAACATACATTTACAAAAGTGAACCGTTACAATTGTTGAAAACTATATAAAGTGAATGTAAGAGGTCTGGAACCTAGACTGAGACAAAAAAAGAATCTACAGCAGGATATGTCTGGACTAATGAGAGGTACCGGGAAAAACTGACTTTCATTGTAAAATTAAAGAGACTTTGTTCATTCGAGAGCTAAAGCCTTCCTTTAATGTCAATGTTATTAGTGAGAAGTTGTTATTATTTTAGCCAGTACTTCTATTGTTCTTAAAGAGAAAACCGGGATTAAAAAAAACCGCTTAAATCAAGTTAAGTCGGTAAAATAACGACACCAGGAGCAAACAACACACGTATGGAATAAGGTAAGCCATTTTTATTTAATATTTTCACTTTTAACCATCTCCATGGATATCTTGTAGAAAATCGCATACAAATCCTTCTAAATCGATATGCAAATTGCGTTCCTTGTGTGGTTCTTAAAGTGAGCTTGGGCCGCCTGTGGAGCGAGGTACGAGCGAGTGAGGGCTTTTAACACAAGCAACGAGTGAATAAAACCCCGTACAAAGCACTTTCTATGTCGTGAGCTGTTTATTGCACATAACGCGAGAATTTTCTGAACCCAAATTAGAAACAAAAACTCACTAACAATGCAAATTTAATGGCAATGGAAAATATCGCAGTAAATGTACATCAAGGGACTAAGTGCTGAACGAAAAACTGCACTTACAAAAGTTTTTTTTTTTAATCTAAGTACGACATCAATAAAACGATTCGAGCAAAGTCCAAAATTTACTTTTAAATTGAGAATCACGAGCATGCGAGCAGTTGCAAAAATTTTGCAAGCACGAGCAAGCGAGCGCCCGTGTAATTCTTTCGAGCAATTCGATTGGTTACACTTCGACACGTGAAATAGCTGTATGCCATTTTGATTGGCTGTATGGGCTTTTTTCATATGTGAAAATAAAGCCTATAGATTTCTACAAATGAACTTTATGGAATAAAATTTCTCGTGTTATGTGCAATAAATACATATGTATATACCCAATAATTCCTTGATTTACTATCCTCACTGTGTTCTGCGGCTGAAAGTGTATTGCGCTTGATAAAATAGCCTTCAACTTTCTGTGAGTTTACCAGTCAAGGTTAACCAATCAGGGCGCTCGCTGTTTCTCAATCATTTACAAATAGAAATAGTCGACAATTTCGGATTTGTCACCATCGCTCGACTCAAAAACACGTTTCCAGTGTCCCTCATTCCTTAGATTGTGACTTCCGGGGACATAATATCACGACAAACCAAGATCGACGAGAAGACACAATATGGAGCATGAATGTTGGAAGGAGGAAACGAAAAAAACATTATTTTTAAACTTGTGCCGAAGAGTGCCAAAGATGTCAAAGAGATGCTCACTCCTGTGGAAAGGAGAGCCTGTAAGTTACTGATGCAGATGGGTGGATGGCCAATGGCTTCATGACTGCTGGTGAATATCGAAAATTCCCTTATCTCTTTATTTAAACAATTTTCTTTCTCAAATGATCGAGAAAATAAAATTCGATGTTATGAGCGGGGAGGGGGTTGGGGGGTAAGGATACTAGTACAACTGAAAATTGTTTTAAGGTTTAAATATATTTTGGAGATGACCTCGGGTAAGAATGAGGATACATGATGGTGATTGCATTGGGTGAAGAGTAATTTGGTCTGAGATAATACACTTCTCTTTGCAAGACTTGATCACGTGATCAACTTTCGGTGAACACGAAAACAGTTCACTTTTGAAAAATTTTGTCAGCACAAGCTGAAAGCGCATATTAAAGTTAGATAACCTGACAATTTTCAGCCGTATATTCGAGCATTATATGGCTCAAATCTCCTTTTAATTCAAAACAGGCAATTTGAGCCCTTAAGAGAAAGATTTAACGACAGTTTTAAAAAATTGGAGTTTACAGGAATTTGTATGAAAAACCATGTCAGCGGACTGGGTGGCAAAAGTTGTTTTTCTCATACAAATCCTTCTAACTTTCGGCGGCCGTTGCTATCGCAATCGTGACTGGGTGACAATCGATAATTTTGAGATTCTGGTTTTAGCGTTTATCCCAAATTATAGCGTACTGATTGTTCGCAACAAATGCAACATTGCGTTTAATTATGAATTATAAATTTGACTTCCTAAGACAACAACTCACTAACATCGAGGATCGAAACGCGCCAATCCCAGCTGTAAAATAACAACCAATCACAGCGGAGCATCCTGCTTAAAAAGAAGACCCGAAACCATGCAGTCTCCGTTATCGCATGATGAAGACTAGCAGCATAAAGTCGATACGTCGCGATCCCCATTATGAGTAACTATGTCATGAGACAAACCATAATTTTTAATGATTATTGAAGGGGGTTTAATTACAAAAAGCGGAAAAAAGCAAATAAACCTCCACAATAATTTACTACCTTCTTGGCATTTTATTTGTTCGGATACAGGTTTTTTTTATTACAAATTGGGTGTAAACACACAGGGTCAGTTATTTACACAGGGTTTAACCCAAAAAGTTTTTAACCAAGGTAACTCTTTACTACATTGAATAAAGATATTTTACATTGACAACACAACAATGTAATGTATAACCTAGAACTGAAACGGAGCAAACCGTTATTAGATACAAGATAAAAAAAATGTCTTGTTGTCCTTCCTTCCTTCCTTCCTTCCTTTACGGTGGCGGCATCTGCTTTCTCTTGATACATCAGTTCATCATAGGGACGCGAGCAATTTGTAGAAAGCTATGAAAAAAAAAATGAATGCTCAGTCCGCACAAGTACTAAATTCTTAGCAAGCATCAACTGGCTATTTTTAGAATAGTTAACAACTATTCGCCGATCACCTTAGGCTACTGGTGGATAGTCATCGAACCGTATCTGGTTTGTTGTGTTGAATACAGCTTGGCCAATAGCCACTATTAACACTCTCCACTTAGGTGAATAGTAAGTAATTTATAAGTTACTGAACACAAGATCACGTCAAGCTAAGAAAGGCGACAAGTGACAAGATGGAGCTTGGATGGTCGAGGAGGTGAAAACAGACAAAAAGAATTTTCGAGTTTTACTGAAACATAAAGGACAATTTTCTTACTTTGTCACTCAAAACGCTCGTCGTGTATCTGTGGATATCGTCGTATCCTTTGTGCCCCGTACTCCTGGTAGATCGTATTTATATAACATGGACTGCGTTGTTCTGCACTTCCCTCAGCTCTACGAAAATAAACTGTAGGCTCTCTCTCTGCTGCTAAGGCTCTCTGATTTTCTCCGGCGAACGCAACACGAGCTCTTTCATTACCTGATGGTCGGATGACTTTTACCATGTTGTAGATTTTTATAAGACAGCAAACATCAACAACTAACAGGACGAAACACGCAAAACTGACAAACTCAGCAATCATTACTGGGGAATTAGCACCAGAGTCTAGGTTTCTTCGCTTCGACTAGCGGCATTCGCTCGTCGCCAGGGTTTATGTTCATAGGCAAAGGTAGATTCAAGTGTGACAGTAACATGTTTGAAGACGAGGTTTTATCCAAGTCGAGCACGTGGGTGTAGTCAAGCATCCGACAAATATTTACTTTTCCCTCTTGTCCAATGGTGTTTTTCCCTTGGTAAGGCTTGTGTTTAGCCGAGATCACCTTTATTATGGGAAAGCCTCAACGCCGATTGA